ACATGTTCATTGCACATAATGACATGTTCATGTACATAATGACATGTTTATTGCACATAATGACATGTTCATTGCACTAATGGCACGTTCATTGCATAAAATTACTTGGTCATATTACATATTTATTTACATTCACTGTGCATCAGAGTAAGCTATCAAGTGCCTCTGTAAATTTCAGTATATCCACAAACTTGGTGAGTCCAACATCTTGTTTCAAGGCATTGTAAAAGAATTCTGGAGCCTCTGACCGCACCCTCTGAAGTTGGATAATCAATCGGCCATTGTAGTCTGAGAACAGCTCCTTGAATCTGAAATTCAACATGAATTATTCCAGGTTATGTGTATACATCATTATCACACGATAATCATAATCAGAATTAGACTAGTATGTCTTGGTGGTCATTTTGAAATCAGATTGAGGCTAGTATGTCTTGGTGGATATTTTGAAATCAGATTGAGGCTAGTATGTCTTGGTGGCCATTTTGAAATCAGATTGAGGCTAGTATGTCTTGGTGGCCATTTTGAAATCAGATTGAGGCTAGTATGTCTTGGTGGCCATTTTGAAGTCAGATTGAGGCTAGTATGTCTTAGTGGCCATTTTGAAATCAGATTGAGGCTAGTATGTCTTGGTGGCCATTTTGAAGTCAGATTGAGGCTAGTATGTCTTGGTGGCCATTTTGAAATCAGAATGAGGCTAGTATGTCTTGTGGCCATTTTGAAATCAGAACGAGGCTCGTATGTCCTGGTGGCCATTTTGAAATCAGAATGAGGCTAGTGTGTCATGTTGGCCATTTTAAAATCAGAATGAGGCTAGTGTGTCCTGTTGGCCATTTTAAAATCAGAATGAGGCTAGTGTGTCCTGTTGGCCATTTTAAAATCAGAATGAGGCTAGTGTGTCCTGTTGGCCATTTTAAAATCAGATGAAGCTAGTATGTCTTGGTGGCCATTTTAATATCAGAACGAGGATGGGTGTCCTGGTAACCATTTTGAAGTCAAAATGAGGCTAGTGTGTCCTGGTGGCCATTTTAAAATCAGAATGAGGCTTGTTGGTCCTGGTGAACATTTTCAAATCAGAATGAGGCTAGATGGTCCTGGTGGCTATTTTGAATTCAGAATGAGGCTTGTTGGTCCTGGTAGACATTTTCGAATCAGAATGAGGCTAGATAGTCCTGGTAGCCATTTTAAAATCAGAATGAGGCTAGTGTGTCCTGGTGGTCATTTTGAAATCACAATGAGGCTAGTATGTCCTGGTGGACATTTTGAAACCACAATGAGGCTAGTGTGTCCTGGTGGCCAATTTAAAATCAAATGAAGCTAGTATGTCATGGTAACCATTTTGAAGTCAGAATGAGGCTAGTGTGTCCTGGTGGCCATTTTAAAATCAGAATAAGGCTAGTTGGTCCTGGTTGCCATTTTGAAATCAGAACAAGGCTAGTTGGTCCTGGTTGCCATTTTGAAATCAGAACAAGGCTAGTTGGTCCTGGTTGCCATTTTGAAATTAGAACGAGGCTAGTTGGTCATGGTGGCCATTTTGAAATCAGAATGAGGCTAGTTGGTCCTGGTGGCCATTTTGAACTGCACACAAGTTCTGAATAAGGCTAGTATGTATGAAGGCTAGCTGTCATTTTTTTAAATAATTAAACCAAACTCACTGATGTAGTCCAACCTCCTGCAACCAGTTCTGCACATCTACTTTTCCCCAAGTGGATACACTATGGTAATTCAACGTTGGTATACTGCCCATTGTTGATATCTTCTTGGACACAACATGTTCTGGTGAAATGCAAAGACAGTTATAATATGTCCAAGGCTAAACAAATGACTTGTTTTAGGTCAGCATGCATGTCAGTGCAAAAAGAGATGCTCCCATTTTTTATCACTAGTTTCTGTCAATATATTGTAATCATAGATGATTAAACAGAACTCAGGACCAGAAACCATCTTTATATAATAAGGGTAATCAAAGATGGATGCAACACAAATGCTAAAATCCATGAACTTGTATGGTGATACGAAAATAAAATTAAAATCATGTGACATGAAT